ATCGATATGCACAGCACAATATTTGACTTTTATATGAAACTTCAAAATTCGAAACAGATCTAACCAGTGAAAAGAGAGAGAGAAACTTCTAAATGATTAGATTTAGTTGAGGACTCTTTTCGCAATCAATCAAATAAAACATAATATTGTTCACATTGATCAAATCGTTTCTACGTAACATCTAAGAAGTTTTGTTTTATTCTTTTCAAATAACAATCAAAATCTTTGATAATTTTTCTGATCTGATAGTTATCCTCACATCTTGAGATCGAGAATGTTAAGAAGAAGAATATCTATAATCAATTGAAATTTTATATTTTAAATGAATTTACTTAATTTGTATTGAAATTGTCAAATTAATCAATTGTTTCATTTACACAGTTTTATTTTTTTTCGATTAAAGAAGTTTCATGTACTGTATTTTCTTTTGCTTTGAACCTCAGTTTCTTTTAACAAAACTATACAGCTTTCCATTATCAACATTCACATCTCATCATTTCATTCGATTATACTTCAACTTACCACAATATCTTTTTAAATAATTGAATTTCTGAATTCGATGATTTGATTGATCAGTAACAAACATGTTCCCAGAACGGTCGAAACTCAAACCATGTGGAAAAAACAATTGATTGGATTGTAAACCCTTTCCATAACACCCAACTAAACACCGAAAACCATTCAACCCTGAACCAATAATACGATGATTGTTCTGATCTACAACGAATAAATATTTCTCAGCATCTAATATAATTTCCCTAGGATAGTTAAGTTCAATTGTTTGATGCGGTGACGTTCTTCCAGCCACAACGATGCCATTTGATTGTCCCGACTGGAACAACTGAACTCGGTGATTTTCGCAATCTGCCACATATAAATCGAAATTCACATCGACAAAGATTCCACTAGGAAAATAAAGTTGATTAGGGGCTGCTCCTAGAGTACCTGTTCCAGCAGCGACAGGATTTGAAGTCATCATAGAGTCATTTAATGATCTTTTCACTACTTGATGATGCTTAGACATTGAACAGTAAAGAGTATCATTGATATCGACAAATAAACCATCACATGATGAGTTAATATTCATCACTGTAACAAAGATATTTGTTTCTGCTATCCATTTCTGCACTCGACCATTATAATATCCATCATCAATATAAATGTCACCATTCGATGTCACAAAGAGAGAGTTAGGTTGTCTAAAACTACCAGAAATGTTCTTTGTTGGATTGACACTCTCTTTTTGCCATATCACAATTGTGCTGTTTTCTATATTAGCGACATAGATTGTGTTGTTTGTGCTCACAAAAATGGCGGTAGGTTTCTGACCCACAATTGATTGATTAGCAATGGTAATTCCATTGGGATTCCAAGTGGCCGTTGGACAAAACTTTGGTTGATGGAATGAAAGAGCTAAAAACAAGAAAAATAGAAAGAATATTAGACAAGAACTATAAACGAAATGAAATTGTTAATTTATATATTCGTAGAAGAAAAATGAAGTTTCTATGAAAAAAATTTTGATTACAAAGATATTCAAAAACTGTTTATTAGCATTGACTTTAGGGATGATTTTATTAATTTTCATATGATATATGACTTGCGATATTGTTAAAATATTTTTATTGACGACATCGATGTTGATCATTTTAGATAAAACAATTTCTTATAGTTTTTGTTGAAAAATCTTGTGAAAGATCTGAATAAATTGTATGAAAGAAAATAGTTGAATCAAACAAATTATTTATGAAAGGAGAAATAATCAAGAGGAAAGAAGAAATTTTTATCAATCAAATTTCTTTCTTTCGAAATTTGAGCATTTCATTTACCTGTCTCCAATAGATTTTAATTATTAAGTTGATTTTCATAAAAATAATTCTGCAGATATGTCATTGCCAATCTTGTTTTTGAAATACTTATTCAAAGTTTCTGAAACTTTTTTCTGATAAATATTTGAAATTAATTTAGAGAAGAAATCAAAATGAAACGATAAATGTCCTTATGTTATCTCAGTTGTCTATATTATCGGGAATATAACTCGATTTATCTTAGTTAATTTCATTAAGAAATACAAAATAATGTTACTATACATCATATCGATACTGAATGATGAAAAGGAAAAGAAAAATGATAGAAAAAATACGATTTTTTATGATCCGCAAAAATTCTTCTTTTCTGTTTATAGACATTCTACATAAACATTCTCGTTCGAAGATCTTTTATCTGAAGAAGTTTCAAAGGTTCATCAAAGATCACGATATCTCGTCTTTGTTGAATATAGATAAAAACAAATCTTTCTTTACAATCTCAGTAGTACTTTACAGATTTCAATGTTTTTCCTATGAAATAAAAAAAAAACAAGAAAATGTTTATTTTCATATGGAAAGAATAAATAACTCTGTTAAAAAGAAACCAATCATTAACTAATCATCTTCAAGAAAAAGTAAAATAAATCTTTGTACAACTAACAAATCTTTTATCAATCAGAAAAACTTTTCTCATTGAATTTTAGAAATGTAAATAAAACTTTGTTGATTGATTTATGTAAAATTTTGATTTAGAAAAAATCTAGAATAAATTTGACTGAAAAACATTTTTTCTTGTTGATCATCTTCAATAAATGAATTTGATCAAACAAATAAATATTTTTATTCAAAACCTGATCAATAGATTTTATTTGTTTTACAGAAAATATTCTTTGTTTACAATTATAGGAATAATAATAACATATAATATCCCTCATTAACAATTATATATATCACATTAGAAATTGTCTTCAACTGTTCAATATTATTCGCTGCAATTAAATATTATGATAACTATTCGAAGAACAAATCATCAATCAAACATTTATTTATGAGAATATTGATGTTTTATAATATTTTATATTGAAAGTTATCTCTCTCAAAGAAAAACAATGACTAAATTCAGTTTTTCCATAAAAAAAGAAGAAAAATTAGTTGTTAGAATTGTGATATTTTAATTGTCCTATTTTTCTTGAATCAAACATCGAAATATGAAATATGAAGTCAAATCATAGAATAATTTATATTAAAACTATATCGACAAGAATATGAAGAGATTTTATTTTGATAAAAACTGTTTAATTGATGCAATATTCTTTGACAAATATGAAATGAAACATCAAAGCCCTTTCTACCACTCCATTAAATACGGAACTTTTTCTTTTTCTATTCTTTAATATGAACAGAAAGATGAAGATAGTTTGCCTTAGATGATTGACACATGACTTTGTCTAGTCTGAACATTTAATTTTCTTAAACACATTCTTTGACAGATTGGTTTAATTAATCTTTCTCAGCTATTTTTGTTTTATTTCGTCTTTTGTATTGAAATATCTTTATTAACTTCTGTTATTTATCTATTCACACCTCTTCATTTCATTCAACTTACCAAAAGAATCTTTCATCAGCAAAAATTTTTGAATTCGATAATTTCCATTATCAGTAACAAAAATGTTTCCAGAGCGATCGAAACTAAAACTATATGGACTAGCTAATTGATTGGAGTGTGAACCCTCTTCATAACATCCAACTAAACATCGAAAACCATTCAAGCCTGAACTAACAATGCGACTATTGCCTGCTTCCACAATGAATAAGTACTTATCAGCATCTAACAAAATTCCAGTTGGACCACGAAGTGTAATTGTTGGATTTAATGATCCACTTCCAGCCACTGTGATGCCATTTGATCCTCCTAACTGAAACAACTGAACTCGATGATTCTCACAATCTGCCACATATAAATCCAAATTTACATCGACAAAGATCCCACGAGGACCATTCAGTTGATTCGAGGCTGATCCTTGAATACCTGTTCCAGCAGCAACCCGATTTGAAGTCATTACAGCACCGTTTAATGACCTTTTCACTACTTGACAATGCTTAAACATTGAACAATAAAGAGTATCATTGATATCAATAAATAAACCCCAACATGATGAATTGATGTTCATCACTGTCACAAAGATTTTTGTTTCTTCGATCCATTTCTGTACTCGACTATTGTCCTCACCATCACCAACGTAAATATCGCCATTTGATGTCACGAAGAGAGAATTGGGTCTTGAAAAATTACCATGAATGATGTTTGGTGGATTGACACTCTCTTCTTGCCATATTACAACTGTGTTGTTTTGTTTATTAACGACATAGATTGTGTTGTTTGTGTTCACAAAAATGGCATTAGGTACAAAACCAACAATCGATTCATTAGCAATGGTAATTCCATTGGAATCCCAAATGGGTGTTGGAGAAAACTTTGGTTGGTTGAATGAAAGTGCTAAAGAACGAGAAAAATATAAAAAATATTAGAGAAGAACTGTAAACAAAATGAAATTATTAATTTAGGTTTTCATTGGAAAAATTTATTGAGATTAATTTTGAAAAGATTTCAATGATTGTTGTTCTATTTTCTCGGATGATTTGTAAATATGAACTAAGAGAAGGCTGAATTGATAGAAGAAGATCAACGTTATTTATTGATTTTTTTTTGTTATAAAAGAAAAATAATTATGTTTAATCTTTGAAAAGATATGATTATCATACAAGACAAAAAAATAATCAAATCATCTTTTTTATTTGTTCGACGAAAATAAATTCGAAGAAGGAAAAAGAATTGTTTAGAATGAAAATGATCGATTTAGTTAAAATTGATTGAGATCTAAACAAAATGTCTCTGAAATTCAAAACCAATTCTCATTTTCATATGAAAAAACATTGTGAATTTATTGATGTTGAATCATTTTAATTACATACTATCATCTTTTTTGGGGATTTGCATTCACTTAATGCCACCGTTATTAACGGTTACAAAAGCCTACTGAATCTCATCATCATCTACATTCTCACTCAGTTTTTGCGCTCTTTAAATTCTATCTTCACCCATCTACATTCGAAAAACATCCATAACGCTATCCAATACTCATGAAAAGAATGAATTTGTCAAAGTCGTCGAGACTGATAATTTTGTATTTTGTTCGATAGTATAGACTTTGAAAATAATTTTAAATACAAAATCAAAAGTTTCACCATGGTTGTTACTATGAAATACTATGCTATGTTAAAAAATAGCCGGTTAATCTGCTTCTTTTTGTAATAAACGATTCAAAGACTTATTGAATGTGACACACTTATAACTCATATTTCATCACTGATAGTTATGGCAACATTCTATAATTTCAATGCAGTTTTACAATAAGATGAATCGCTATAGTATCAAATTCTAAAATATATTACTCGACCTTCTTTTGCTTAACCAAAACTCTAATGAATAATGTCATTTGTACAATAGCTGATCTTCAGTATGTGATAAATAAAAGTATCTACCTGATGTGTCATTGTTGAGAATCAACAGAAGAATAATGATAAATACATAGATATTCAACGTCATTCAGCAAGATTTTTTTGATAAATTAGTTAACTAACATAATAATCTTCTTCTTCGTCATCGATGAAAAGAAAATAACACTCATTGTAGATTTTCTCTCTACTAGTAGTTATATATTTCTCTTTTTCTCTTTTATTTCTCTCATTCATTTCTTCCAAGATAACACAGAGAAAAAAAAAGTATTCTAGAGAAGGTTTCGTCGTAGATAAGATAAAGCATTGATTTTAGATTGCATTAATGAACAAAATTCATGATTTAATTTGATATTTTCCATTAAATTTTATTCTTTTCGAAAGCATAAAATGGAATTTAAATTCAACATGATCCTTTTCTTTTTTTAATTTTATAGAAAGATCTATGATTTTAATGAAGAAGAACGTGATGAAGAGAAAGAAGAATTAATCAATATCGATGTCAATCAATCATCAGCGTGTTTTTAATGAAATATGATATTAAAAATCATTGTCAATAAATGGTTGCTGTCATTGAATAAGTCATGATAAGTTTGATATTTTTTTATTTGAACCTGTCAAGTAATCTGCTTTATCAGCACTCATTTTTAATCACGTTCTTTATTTCTGTATGCGCAATAAGTATCTATGAAAAAAACATTCCTTCTTCAAATATTTCGATCTGTTTCAAAATAAAAACTAATAAGATATATAAAAAGCAGAATTTTTCATTGCAATACGAGGGATTTTCTAAGAGACATGAAAAAGATGCATGTATTCAACTCTAAAATCAATATAAGCAAGAAAAGCACTCTGAAAATGGATGAATCTTATCAATTCGTTGGAATAGTTCTATTCAAACATAATCAATCTCGTAAAACTCAGATCGATTATCTAATATTCCTTGCAATCTAGCATTGGTGATTTGTCACCCATGCAGAAAACGTTTGATTCAAATTGATTTTAAGGGTGCAGGTGTCGATGAAAGATGAATATACTTTCCACAACTTTGCTCATGCGTGCATACTCACACCCTTCATTGAGGGTGAGTGCGTGTGGGCGTCTCCTGTCCTCACCCACAACCAGGCTCGTAGCCAGGGGGTGAATGGGGTGCCCGGTCACCCCCTTTAGCGAAAAAAACCTTGAAGGGGGTACGGATGAGACTTTTATTCATGAAGCAAAAAATTATTTTCCTACTGGTGTGCATCCCCTTAACAAGTCGGGCACCCCCTTTGGAAAATTCCTGGCTACGGCCCTGCCCACAACCGCACCCATCCGCATCCACCCACACCCACACCCTCAAGATCTTGCTGCTAACCTCTGTACATATTTTTTTTATTATCTTTTACATTTTTTGTTTCGCTCTTTCGTATTCTCTCTGTGTTTCGATAAAAGTCAGTTTCACAGGTCAATGATCGCTGAAGCAATATTTCCACGAATCTCCGGCGAAACTCCTCAGGAAACTCACCGTTCCCGTGCCGGATTGTCTGATCTGGATTGTGAACGAGCATACAGAAGCAGCAGCAAAAAAGAAAGTATGTACACATTTCGGCAATAAATTTTTATATATCTCGAATGCGAGAATTTATTGTTAAATTCTTTCTTCAATAAAAAAAACGGTGTGAATAGTAAAAACATTTGTATATTAAGATCTGCTTATCTATCCTTTATTTTTTATGTAATAAGAAAAAAATCTAGTCTTAATCGTAATGTTTCATTTATGTAAAATTCAAGACAGAATGAAACTTTGTTAGAGTCTCTGATGCATGAGCATTCTGAATATATATTAGATGAAGATACGATACTAATTAAAAGTTTGAATAAAATAGTTTTTTTTATATCCTTCGTATTATTATCATGTCAGACGATATGCTTCATTCCTTCTTCAATATTATTTCTTTCTTTTCTCCTTTAGTATTCTGCCTTCTATCTTGGCTACATCACACTTGTTTATACTTTATCAAAAATATTGAAAAAAGATGGATGAGGATGTAAATTTAAGATGAATACAACCACCGTGTTTTTAGAATATTGAATGAACTTAAAAGTTACATAGGGATTTTTATGCAATTTTGTTTAGGGACATATGGCGCAACAATCCCGGTCAATGGTTTCTGAAGCAGTATTTCATGAAATCTCTGGAATATCACGGAACCGGCCGTTTCCGTGCCGAATTGTTCGACCTGGAAAACCCAGCAACAACTGAAACCAACAAATTGCCAATGCTCGAATGATAGTAGCTTATGTATGATTTTCGTTTGAAATATGTACAGTTATAAAAAATACCTTTTTTTCTATTATAGAATGAAATATTTCTCAACAACAGAATCCAATATCATTGTATGAACCTTTACAGAGTGATGCTAGAGAAACTACCGTCAGTAGGATAATACAGAAGCAAGCTGGATATGATAAGCATCAATTCACATTGAACAACATTTCCGAATATTCTATTTTTGTCTTTTTTTTCTTAATCCTCAAGCAAATAAATAAATAAAAATTCAAAGACCGATGATTTCTTTGTAGCTATAACTAGAGCAAGATATAAAATTATTTTAATAAATAGTGGAATCAAATCTGATAAAAAATATAAAAATAAATAATCTTTATACTCATTGTTATGCAATTATTTATTATTGTTTGAAAGTTACTACGAAAAAGAACTGTACTGTTTCTAGTTAGAATTAGTTCACTTATTAAATCGTCAATCTTTTTTGGTCATTTTGGAAGACAAAGTCTTTATTTTTCGTTAATTTTATTTTCAAAGAATGAACACACAACAACAGAGGTGACGAGGAAAAACTGTCTTAAAATTATAGTTTTTGTGAACCACGACATTTACGCTCTGGAACTGGTGATGCTCACGCCTCTAGAGCTTTTGGAGGGTGGTTATGATCTGCTCCATATTGTTCAACCTTCTCTTGAGCTGCCGATTTTCCTCGACAAGCTGATGGTTTTTATTGATAAGCTATCGATTTTCGTTAAGCACGAGTTGAATTGGTGGTTGTGGCCGTGGGACCTGAAATAAACAATATAAGAGAAGAGAACATATACTATGACGTCGTATTATTCCCTGTTTTTATTCACGTCTATATATATATACTTGAAATTGTACGAAGATTACCAATTAAAAAGCAATTTTTTTGTGATTAATTTGAAGAACTTTCTATATAAGACGTACCATTTGCTGATGAACATAATTTTCTTTGCACATTGCTCTTGCTTTTCCGTTCCTTGACCGATGAAATAAAACTACGCCGATAAATGAACGTAACATACGTACTAGAAAGAAACAACATAAGTGAGGGCAAGGCTCATTGTTTCTTTTCTCTTTTTTAAAAGTGACTATTCGAGACAGCGGTCAATAGAAATGGTCAACCCTTGAATATAATATTCAAACAAGAACATGTGTGTCGACAAACATTGCTGATTATTTTACCACTCTTAGACTTTCATTATTCACCTTTTTGAGTTAAACAATTTTCGAACTTTCAACTATCTAGCTATTAACTAATTCTATGTTTCAACACTCATCCTCACTTAAGCTGATGCGCTCAGTATCACACTACTTCCAGTTCATTCAGTTAATTCGCTTCTAATGTGTCGAGATCTCGAATTATACTCACCACCGGTTGAATACGGCCAACTGATCGACACGTAGTGGTAAAGGAGAACCAACGAAAACTAGAGGGATTACCTCTAAAATGATTCGAGTCGACCTCAGCATATTTAGTTGAATTTTGATTAGACATATCTAAAATAAATAAATCGCTATAGAATAAATAAATATTTATTTGATTATTATGAAAAAAGAAAATGATTTTTTAAAAAGAATTAGTTGAATAAATATACTTCATGTATATTTTGGATAATATCAGACTGCATCTTGCGGGTGTGGGTGATATTATTCCTGTCATTCATTTCATTCACCCACACCTTCAAGATGGTATTGATTATGTATTTGTCTTGAATAAAAAATTGAATGAAATGATAACAAATATTGAAAGAACAATAAAATTCTATTTAGGGGTGTAAGTGTGAATGAACTTAAGATAACATAATAAAGACACACCCACATTCTCAAATGATAGACTTTGATGCAACATCATGTAATCTCCATCACTATGATTATTAAAAGTATTACCTGCGAACCTGCAGATAGTGAATCAAACTGCAACCTATTTGAATTCAATAACATATCTAGTAGCATCTATTCTTGTATCTAGAGAATCTACTGATGATTAGATGTATTTTTAAAATAATTATATAGATCGTCAAGAATTATTTGCTATTGCTTCTCTTTTATCAGTTGGTCCAAATTGTTTAGTACTAAAAATAATTTTATAAACTGAGCTAAGAACACGATGGGTTAGAAGAGAATATATGAAAGAATCACTTGATAATTAAAGAAATCTTTCTTTTTATTTTTAAAGGTACATATAC